TAACCTACCTGCCGTTCTTCTTTCAGATGCTTTTTAATAAACTTTTCAATGATATGTAAACAGCAAGACGATGGTTGGTTATGTTTGTTTAATAAGTGGACACAAAATTTTCGGTATCCTTATATCAACTTTTCTTGTTATGTTAAAATCGAAAATATCTAAAGATAATCTTTCATCATACTCATATCTGCACCGTTTCATCGAATTTGCAAATTTTATAATGACACCTACTCTATCTTTTCGCTCTAATTCCTACACCTCCTGGAAAAGGTATCCATCTTCTGCCTCACCCCTTTGAAAAGAGATGCATTGTTCCACGCCCTTTTTCAGACGTCCACAAAGATCTGGTAACATATCTGAGTAAATTGATCACCACAGCGACGAGGATTGGGAAGGCTTAATTATACACACGTAAAAAAAAACAGCCGCGAAAAATAATCAGGGCTTGTTTTACATACTGTGTTCAACACGTATTGGGGAAACCGATCATTCAAAATTTAATCAATCTTTAACGGTGATAAAGTTTGTTCAGCAAAAAAATAAATAAATAAACACGAAGAAAGACACCTCATTAATGTGACGGGTAATTAAAAAATGTTGTAAACAATTTCCAGAGGACTTTTTTTTAAGGGTTGAGTTGGTAATCAATATTTTTTGTCAGTAAATAAATCTTATTTAAAAGATAAATGTATATATATGTTAGTATAAATATTTTTTTTTTATTGAGGAAACTTCATGCCAATAAATTGTACAAAGTTTTAAACAAATTTAAAAAAAAAAAACTGTAATTGTTTTTGGGGTCTGATAGCCGAGTAACTAGCCGTCTGGCGCCCGATGCCACAGGTTTCAGGTTTGAGTCCCTGAAGTGCCATGAATGTTTGTAGTGGTTCTGAATCCACGTTAAACCTTAGGTCCCAGTTTAATAAGACCGTAGAGCGGAAACTCTACTCCGTAAAAAGTCTGCCGTCCATAAATCTGCTAGCATTCAGACGATCTTGGCTCACCATGGGGCTGTTGCGCCACTGATGATGATGATGTGATTAATTTTTATATCCTGCTATAATTTTCAGCTATTGAAATTAAATCTTTACTGAATTATGAATTACAATTACTGATTGAACATGGGTGTAAAGTGGTCAGTATTGAAAATAATAGTATCTTCGATATATGTTTTTAAAAGTTAACAGCCTTTTACTGAGTCATATTAATCAAAACATCAAACAAAACAAGTAATATCAAATTCAATTAACTTTGGAAGTCGTTTGTACAATAATTACAGTTACCACCGTTACTTCCATTTCTAATAGCAGAAATCGTGAACAGATATTGAATTCTTGTGCTCTTTCCTGCTTTCTTCTAAATAGGATTATACATTTTAGATCTTTATCAAGATTTTAAGTATATTATTTAATAAATAGGAAATTCATTTGAATTAAACTGTTTGTATATCATTTAATTTAAAATTATACACATAATTGTGGACCTAAGGGTTGAGCGGCTGCAGCGCGTTGTCAAAATTTTCGAATTCGAGTCCCGGAGGTACCATAGATGTTTGCTGTGACAGAATCAACTTTAAATAGTATGTCCCTGCCTCATATTTCTTTAGAACATTGGGAGTAGGGCTGAAAATCTCCTGTTTCGAAATCTGCCAGTAGAGGATGGTCCAAAATAGATTGGGAGTTAGTTATTTATATAATCGCACCAATACGTATTCGTATTGTACCAGTTCGTAATATTGCGTATTTAATATATTTCAAAATTGTAGAATTTAAATAATTGAAATATTGATATTGTTTTCAGAAGAAAGGGTTTTACTACTAGTAGTAGGTTCAATATTATCAAAGATTCACTCAGTTGTGAGCTTACAGTATAGCTTACTACACTGCAATACATTTTGTCATCACATTTTCGAACGAAGACCTCCAGGTAGTAATTTTAGTAATTTTAATTTTATAAATTAAATAGTAATTTTTAATCTTAGTAATTTTATTCTTACCTCCTCAGAAGATAAGGAGTTTTTGGTTTATGAATTATCATCTTTTTTCCTGGTATAATTTTCTGTCAAGTGGTTTCTGGGATTCAAACCAACTCCAATAAAATAGAAGCCCAAGGTGCTATATCAGCCAGCTCAAACCAGAAATATTGATAATCTAATTTACAAACTTATTTGAATATCTAATTTTAATATCAATTTCAAAATTCTTACATAGCTAATGTATATTTATTATTAATGCAATAAATTTCACAATTCTTTTTATGTTTAATAAATAACATTCAGATTTTCCTGAAATATATTGTATTGTGTATTAGTATACTAATTTATTAGATTATAACTGAAGTAAGTCTCATAAATAATTTTTTTCTCATTTAATGAATAAATATTAATATTATCAACAACAAGGTTGAAAAGGGAATGAATAAATTAGATTTATGGAATTTTTAAGAAAATGCAGTCTGCTACCAAATTATAAGATCACTCGAATTCTACTCTTTGTTAACAAAGGTAATATTTATTATGAATTTCAGAGAATATGTATGTAATGAAATAATTTTTCGGTGTTTATTTAGTTTGATAAATAAATAAATCGAATATCTTTTTCGTGCCAAAAATTTTTTCGAATTAAATAAATATAAAGCCTATTTTTTTATATATAATAAACGTTTTTTTGTTTAACTTTGGAGTTTACAATAATGAAAATCATCTGAAAATGCTGGGTAAAAGAGACAAAAATGAATAATTTAATCTATTTGATTCTTCGATTATTAAAAAGACTCGTAGAGGTAATTTGTATAAAGTAGAAAATTTATCTTATTTACCTTTTAATATGTAGAAATGGTTTGTTTCAACATAGGAAAATGTAAGTCTGACCACAAAATATGTAAGATTCTTATTCTAAAATTTCTTTTAATAATGCTTTGTATAAAAGAGCTGTATGGTAAAGAGTAAAGACGTAACTGCGGACTAGTAAATAAGTGTCTCATGCTACTACCTAGCTAAATTTGAAAGTAAAATATTATATAAAGTAAATATTTGCATTAATTTTCCGAAACAATATGGAAAAGCTAGTTTATTTGAATACCATAAAGGAGTATTTTTATGTCGGCAAAAATGTCATGTGCTGGAACTCCACAAAAAAATATATAAATTTTCGGATAAAAAAAATAATTTAACTTACACTTTCTGCACACATCTACTGCTATTGATATGACTTAAAGAAAAAAAATTACAGTAGTCTTATGGAATATGTTCTGGTAATTCTAGAGGCAAATATCACATAAAAAACCAAAATAAAACATGATATCAAGTTCCTTAATGAAAATGGTAATTACATCATTTTCTAATGCATTCCATCACATGTTGGAATTGATAGAAAAGAAAGGCAGATCTTCTGGCATTAAAAGGAACAGAAGAAATTCCTGGACAATGTCCCATACCTCTTAATCTTTTAGGATAAGTAGACCGAGACAAAATTAAGTCATCGTACATTAATGAATTAGTATCTAACACCAAAGGAAAAGTCTGGGATGACTGGAAAAGATTTAGTGAAAAAATCCGCAAAGAGGATGTTGCCAATTTTAGATTAAGAACTAACACAATTTTCTGGCCGAACATCTGGACAAAATATTGATTTTGAACTCTGATTTGTGTGTGATTTGTATTTGTGTCTCTATGTCTGTTTCATGCAAGACAGAGAAGATGAATAAGGCCCATCTACTTGTTTGTTCGGGACTGGACTCTAACTTACAACAAATTAGTGTTGTGTGTACTCTTTACTGGAGGTTCAAAGAAAACATATCCCGATCACATGGGCATTTATTAGGGTATTTCTAGCTTTTAAAATTTTTATCCGTAAAAAATTCAACTTGTTTTTAACAATTTTTAAAGCATTTTGGTCGTTTTTGTTAAGAATATCTGGTATTTTTCCTTTGTCATTTTGATTTGTTTATATGTTATTTTTGTTTGTGCAGTAAATGGCCAAATTTACATGAATTGAGTTCTAATAAAGCCATAGGTAACAACAACATCATATGGGATCTACAAATAGTTGGTGACAAAATGATCTTACACAAATATCAAAGAGTTTTATCAAGTCTACCTATCAGGCTACTTTAAAGAAAGGCTTAATGAAGTCTCAACAAAATAATACTGCCAGTTATACATCTAAATCAATAACAGAATAGTTTAAAAGGGAAAATACTGATGTTTTATCTTGGTTGAGCCTTAGTTTGACCTAAATTCAATAGAAAACCAATGGGGTTTATCTGTCTCTCAAAACACATGAAAATAACAAGCAATATTATTTTTTATATAAATTGGAAGTCGTCATTATGAAGAAATGGGAAAATATTCTGAAATGTGGATTTAAAATTTAACTAAATCTTTGCCAATTCGTGTGTTCCAAGTTGTTCAGAAAAATAGTCCAGCAGCATTTTATTAAAATTATTAAATTTTTCTTTTTATACATGTAAACAATATTTAGTTTTTTTTATTTTGTATTTGTAATTCATTGAAATGAATTTCTTACATCAAATTGCAAAATTTTGTTTAAAATTTATGCTCTACTATAGAGTAATTTTTATTTTAACTCAAATATTTCATTAATTACGTAATTAGCAAAAATTCTTTGTACATTTTTGTAACAAAATAATTACATGTAAACCAAATGCAAAGTTTTATGGAAATTTATATACGTTTATTTTTTTTTGTTTGAATACAAATACTTAACACAGATAGAAACATTTCTTCTTCTTCATTGGCGTAACAGCCCCATGGTGGAACAAAGCCGTCTGCCTATTGGCAGATTTCGAGACATGTGATGTTTTCTTTTTTAAGAGATAAGGTTCTCAGCTATATTCCCAACTCTCTACAATCATATTAGACCGCGACCTACGGTTTAAAGTGGATTTTTAGCCAATACAAACATCCATGCACCGCCAAGATCGAACTTGAAACCGGAGATACAGAGAGGAAGAAAACATTTCTTAACAGGCGTAATGCGGCCAAGTGGCCCAGTGATTAGCGCTCTGGCCTTTGGTGTCAGAGGCTTCAGGTTCAATTCCTGGCAGTGGCATGGATGTTTTGTTAGTCGTTCAGATTCCACTTTAAACTGCAAACCAAACCCGATATAATTCTTATAAATAATTTGTAAAAATTTATTTTCAGTTGATATCAAAGAAATTCTTCTCATCATTAACATGGTTAATAATTATCATAGTCTTTGGAAAGGATTTAGGAAAAGAATCACTATAGAATCAAAATCCTATAATACACGAATAAAAGTTTTAAGCTATAAATATATATTTAATGATCAATAATACGAGTACTTATAATTTTTATATTTTCTTTGTTCCAGGTATTGAGATACTTGTTTTAAAAATTCATAATATAAGAAAAAACTTTATTTAAAATTTAGGAAAACACTCTTTAAGATAGAAACATAGAATTTATGTAGAATATATTTCTAGAAATAAAATTCTATTGACTTCTGCATTTTGCTTAAGTATATTCAGTTTAAATGTTTAATATATGTGAGTGTCTGGTAAACAAATGCAAAAGTAACCCAGACGTGCGTGCATTTTTATTTTTGCTAAGTAAATAACAGAATTTTGTTTACATTTTCTACAAAGCATTTTCGTTACTGAATATATTTACATTTTCCAAACCTTTTTTATTAGTTATACTTGATTAAATCTGGCATATATTTTTTTTACTGTAATAGACACTGTATTAGCTATTAACTAACACTGTACAAGCTCTTTTTCAATGAAAATTAGTAAAATGTACTAAATGCATGAGAAGTTTGGTTTCATATCAAATAAAACCTAATTTTAAATATTTTTTTACTCTTATTTGCGATTTCTTTAATTCCATCTTTGAAATATTTCGAAATCGGGGCTCCAGTTGCCAATTGCGTACATTATCGCCAAATTTGGCAACTGGTTTTGGCGCTTTTGCAATGAACATGTTTTATCTTTTTAATCGTTTTGATTTTTTTTTTCCTATGCTTAATTGAACATTGATCTAAAATAATATTATCAAATATTTTAAAAACACATGGAAAAAGAAAACAGAATTTTATTTGGAATTTAAACATTTCTGTGCTTGTTTTTTCTTTTCCAGCATTGTTGTTATTTCATAAAAATATTGCCGTATTTATCTCTAGTCGTTAACATTTGTTTGGCGTAAAATATCGCTTCGCTAACCGAAAACAATCAATATTTTAACTTTTTATAAAATGCAAAATTGAACACAAGATTCGGCGAACATTAAAATCTCATCAACGTTGAAGGATGTAAAATAAATAATTTTTAATAAATGTTAGCTAGTTTGGCAAATTTTTCTGTATGTAATATTCATAGCAATTACGAACTTTTAAAAATAATACTAATTTGATTTTGTTTTAATTAAATTGCAATTCTAACGTCTTCAAACGTTGAAGTTTTGGGGTCTTGTTTTGAAACAATGCCTTTATAGCGTCTGGTTTTGAATTTATTACATCTTCTAAAAGGCTTAAAAACCTGAATAAATATATTAATATCGGTTGTTGTGTTAAATGATTATGTTAAGCTCAAATAATTAAAGCCATCAATATGTGCCTTTAATTTGTCAATAAATTTTTGTTGATTAAGAAGGCTAAAAAACTATAACTAAAATTTGTTTCGACATGGAACTCAGTACATAATAAATTGCTGCATATAATATAGGGTGCCCATAAAATATTTTTACACTTTAAAACATTCATTAAGAATTAATGAATGAACTAAATGAACTTTCATGAACTAATAATTCCTCTTATTGTTCACTTACTTATGAATGCATTTATAGTTTATCATTATATAAAAAGTGTATGGAAGATTTATTTTGATGATGCTTTCTACATTTGAACATTCACAATTTTTATTTGAACACAGCACATCGACTTGAGCATCTTTGGACTTCTTTAATGAATATATTTATAATATATTTTTTACCAATCAATTCGTCCATATTCGTCCATATTCGAAATATTCCAGTTCAAATGATTCACAGACAGGAAATTGCTGTTAATGTTCGGTACTTTATAATTAAATTAAGGAGAAATAAAAAACCTGTTGTGCTGAAATTTCAAAAATTGTTTGTTGATTGATTTTTCATTGATTCTAAAGTTACCAAGTTGTTCATTTTCCTTCAACGGTATGCAAATTTTGTGTTATATGATTTTAATTAAATATTTTCTTATGATTTTGAAGTGTTTCATTTTTTACATAAATATAGGAGAATGGAATTTGTATTTCAATATAAAAAAAAAACTTCACCTTTTCAGTTTTCATAATAGCTTTAAAAATTTAATTTTTTAAGGGTGTATGTTGTCTTTTATGACTTAATGTGTATATCTAATGCATTAAGAATTTAACGTATCAACCAGATAATGATATATTTGAAATGAAATACTTCATTAATAATAATTTTTATGTGTTTACTTGATTTTTTACTTATTTCATAAATAAAATGATGGATTTTTGCAAATCCTTAATTTCCGATCTTCCTACATGGTTGCGCTTGCGTGGTATCTTAAGATTCAGCAATAAAGAAATCATTCACAGCAAATCTTCATAGATTTGCTACTAACACTGCGTTTTCTTTCTTTATTTATTTCAGTAGTACATCTGAACACTCAGGAATATTTTAAGATCTATATTTAAGACTAAAATTACTTTTTCCTATTATACCAAGAAAATTAAGGAATACTTGTGAAATAAAGAAATGTGGGATCCCATTGATCCATTTTATGGGAAGTAGGATACTTAAAGTAAATTTTATTAATCTATTTTCCCTTAAATTATTGAATAATTAATTCAACGTATCAAATTATTTTTTTCACGTATCATTTTGCAATTAATCCTGGTACAACTGAGTTTCGTATAAAAATATCTTGTGATTGTTTAAAAACATCCAAGATATTTTTATTCGAAACAGAACCGAACGAAAACCAATTTCAGTTTAAATTTCTATTTATTATATAAAAAAAACTTAATGGATTTGTGGAAGTGTGTTTTAAATGGGATGTAAACAGTCCTGAATTTAAAAGTAGTTTGAAAAGTTTTATTTTAATGCTTTGTTTCTCGTGGGACTACACTATTCAGGGATTTGCAAGAACTCGATTTGCAATTAAAATTGTCCATTTAGATTGCTGTTAATTTAAAGCATTACCAAGGGATGTGTTGTAGGTAATTGAGGAAACTAAGTAGTTTTAGTTTGTTCAAAGATAAAAAAAAGTACTCCCTCGGAAAACGAATACAATTATAGGAATTTAAATACTTACAGCCAATTATTTGTTGTTGTATGGAAAATTGTTTGACACGCATATATTTATAATTATGTATTGCTTAGTTTTTTAAAATACATTTAATAATTAATATTGTTTAAAATTGTTAAAAAGATGTCTTGGTTAAAAAAAAAAAATTCAAAAATGGTTCAAAAAAGACTTGTATAAAATGAATGTTATCCAATTTTAGCACATTTGCTACGCTCTTGCAAGCGGCCCGAGGGCCAATTGACTACCGCTCTGGCTTTTGGTATTATAGGTTTCAGGTTCGAATACAGGCGTTGGCCTGCATGCTTCCTAATGGCTAGGGAATCCACGTTAAACTGTTATTCACGGTCTAATTAGAAAAAAGTATAAAAAAAAAAAGGCCGTAGAGGGACAAGCCAAACCATGCATATTTGCAAACAATAAAAAAATTTCAGCGAACCTGCGATCGATATAACACTTTTAGAAAACATATAATTTTGTTCACAGTTTTCATCCTCATTAATGTTCACCTCATATATCGATATTATAGCTTATATATGACCTTTTTTATTGTCTACCAATTCATTGACTTATTGCCATATAAAGTGAATAAAACGGAAGTAAAGACATTATTTTTCACTTTAAACGATTTATCTACGAATTACCTTTATCATCTGATTTATTTATAATAAAATACAAATTATAATGATTGTAATGTATGGGCAAAAGAAAAGAATACAAACATTATCAAGCCCGCATAAAATAAGCAAAAGAATTCTTGCATAATTAAACATGCATATAAAAAGAACATTCTTCACTTTAATTCTTGATATTAAATTCTACTTTCGAAGACTTTCAAACATTTCAAACAAATTTTAAGCAATTCCTGATACGTATAAACACCGAATAGCGAACCCCATTGAAATATGGCAAACAGAGCTCAGTGAAAGCAATTCTGAGGTTGTAGTGATTATCTCTGGATGGAGTTAAATGTAGCTCATTACTCAGAGAAATAACTCGAATGTCCTTTTAAGTCAATTAAGGGATCGCGTCATTAGCTGGCTAAAGACCTGGGAAACAAGCTCCCCGAACGATTAACCCCCTCACCCCCCGCCTTCCGTCAGTTTCGAAAGTTCATTTGAAAAGTAAGACAATTTGGGAATTAATGCGCGCGTATAGTTTCGTCAATAAGTTTAAAGCTGGATAATCTTTGGAAAATTTATACATTAACTCGTAAATCAAGCAACTGATGTTAGTGCAGTCGTTCCACTTATGGCCTGATGATGGTGTTGTATAAATTGCAAACAAGTGTATGTTGGTTCGATTTTGATGATGGCATATAGCAGGCTGATACTGTGAAAAAAAAAATATTTGTCACTGAAATTCTGATTTCCTGATTCAGGATTTATAAGTTTTTTTTTTTTTTTTTTAATTCTCTTATGCAGTTACTCCTGAAAGTTTTCACAGAGGATATTTCTTTTAACTGAACTAAATTTAACAATTAGAATGGCTTTTCTTGCAAAAAGCGTTGCAAAGCGTTCCTGGCCTTACGATATTTGGTTTATAGAAAGTAGCCGGAGTAGAAAATTTTGATGACAAATTAGTAAAAGAGAGAGAAAACAAAAAGGAGCAATGAAAGAAAACAAAAGAAGGTGATAAATGAAAGAAAAAGAAGAAAAGTTATGATGTTCGAATTGCAAAGAATGCATTTAAAAAACAAAAAAAATCCAAGCAATACAAAACAAATCACTCAAATTCCATTGAAACCAAATTAGAATTGCACGACATTTTACACAATT